GAAGTGTCCATCAGGCATTGGGGTGGCGTCCGATGTGTTTTACGTCTGAGTTATTTTTAGTAAATTTGACGTCAGCACCGAAAGTGACCATATGCAGAGACGCTCGACTAATCAAATTCATCGAAATAACTTGCGCTGCGCTGATTCGTTGTTTGGATGGCTGTGAACTTTAGCTGGCAAAAACAAAAATGGCGCGGCGGTTTCAAAATGTCCCGAGATTACTTTTATTGATGAACGCTATATTGAAGTAAGTGTAAATAAAAAGTCTCGATTGGTGAACGATGAAAGTGAATCAGAGTCTTCGGATGAATTAAGCGACAGTGTATCATCAAGTAATATCGATAGTGACGATAGTGATACGGAAAGCAGTGAATGCTCAAGTAATGTTGAATCACCGCGGAAAACCAATCGTAAAATTGTGAAAAAATACAGCAAAACAAAGAGCAGTGAAAGATAATGAGTTAATTTTATTAATAGAAATGCAAGAATAAACTTGGAAGGAATTAAGAAAGAGCTCCTAAATGCATTGGCAGCAAGTGATAAGAAAAATATCTACATTGATGTCGTAAACGAGGAAAAGTTTTCTGAATTGGTCAGAGCAATGGTGCACTTCTTTAAAAAACATGCATTGAAATCTATAGGAAAAAAGAGATAAAGAAGGCAGATAAAAAAGGCCATTTGTATGTAGACTGGATGAAGTATATCGAAAAGTTTAGGCCAGGGGCTGACACGACGGAGAGAGAGTTACCTTGTGGCATTTTTAGCGAAAGCAAAAGCAGTGCACGAGAAATACATGGTTTTGTTACAGTTTTGAACGGTGTTGTGTACAACATGATGCATAAACACATATATGAAAAGAAAAAGTTGGAAGAGCATGAAAATCAAGACGAATATAAATTGAGGAACGAAGAATCAAAAGAATCAAAGAAAAACTGTAGAATCAAAGAAAAACTGTACTGTTTTGCTGGTTCCTCAACGTTGTTGGGATGTGTACTGTTGTTGTTGTTGGCCGCTGTTTGTAGCTGCAACTTCTGTGTAACTTCAGTGTACTTTGCCGACCATTCAGAGTGGTTTTCCAATTTATTCCTTATACTTTCGATCTTCTCTCTTTCGTCTTGGTGTTTTCTGTCGATTTCTAACTTATTTGTGGCTTTTTTAGTTATTGCTTCAAGCACATTCAAGTGGCGGAAAAGCTTTTCCCTCCCGGGGAACCCCGAGACCGCCATTTTGATTGTTTTGACTGCTTGCTTGACCCCTTCCGGTGCTGACGTCAATTTTACTGAAAATAGCTCAGACGTAAAACACATATCGGACGCTTTATATATAGGAAGATTGACACTTCTAGTTATGAAGTAATATTTCAAAGCCGACAATGAGGACTGGACGGGATTTCAAGTCAAAGCAATTAGTTCCAACTAACTAATTGCGCAAACTTGAAATCCCGTCCAGTCCGATATTGGAGGCTTTGAAATGACTTCTCATCTCATTAATTTTGTTCCAGTTACTAGGACTGAATTAATTTTGTTCCAGTTACTCCAGACTGAATGCATTCCTTTCACAGCACTTTACCAGGTTTCAAGTAACATCATGTGACCCAAAAATAGCCCATTGATTGGCTGGTTTACTCACGAATTATTAATGAGTATGAGAACTTCTGCTATTAGCCATTCCGAGGGAGGCAGCATGGTCGAGTGATCATAGCGTCTGTCTCGCAATTCGGTAGTGCTCAGTTCGAGTCCCGCTGTGGACACTAGGTGAGAATGTATTTGTGCTGGTTTCTCATTAGTTCAAGTTCAGTTTCTCATCAACCATGCTTGTAAATAGCCAACTGGTTTGCCTCCTTGCCAGTTGGGATTCAAAACACTTTATGTTCCTTTGATTATTTCTTCATTTAAGTTTCATTTCAGTGTCCCCAATTAGTTGTCTAAAGACATCGACACTTAAATAAAGTGGTTTTTTTGTTGTTGAGGGGGAAAACGAGGTGAAGTTGACATTAAAGTGAAATTTTAAGCAACGGCTAGTAATTATCAGCTTAGAAATTGGAGGAATCTATAAAGGCTTGTATCCATGGTCGTGTCATTTACTGAGGACGGGGATAAGGGAGTCGTGAGCAAAAAATAAGTGTATTATATCCGTTCAAGTAAATGCTATGAGTCGTTACTTAGTTGTCTTCAATCAAAGCTTTCATGCACATAAAGGGAGAAAATTTAAAAAAGATTCATGTTTATAAGTAATGTCTTATTCGGACTAAATAATTCCTTTCTATTGTGGTGTTATGCGCACGCTAATTTGTTTTGGTAGTTTGATATCAAATTGTTGTCTCATTTTGTACAAAATCTGGTTTTTCTCGTTTTACTTGCTGCTTTTACTTCATACATGTTTTCGATTATTTGAGACTTTATAACAGTGGTTTTACTTTATTTTTTATTTTGCTTTTCAAAAAATAGTTTTCAACGATGGTATAAATGGAAAGAAGTTTGAACTTTTGGTCACAACACATCACGAAAAGTAATTCCCAACACAGATCCAATTTGATTTATATATTTATATTCGATTTCCAGAGCACCCAACTTGTAACGGTACAGTACGCCTTAACCTTCTTTTAGTTATCTTCTGACTCTTGCCGTTTTTCTGTTCTTGGTTGTGATCTTAGTGTCTTAGTAGGTGTCTTAGTAGGTGAACCAGGTTGTTATGGTTACCGCACCCGTGCTCAATAACTAGTACGTGGGATCCTCCTCGAAAAGAAGCAGGTGTTGGTGGTCGTCAAGCAAAATATTGCAATGACAGTTTCAAAGGCATAAGGATTTATTCCAAAGCCTATTTTCGCATAAAGTTAAATTGCCCATGTTATACTAAACCCTTTATTGGCTTTAACCAAAACCTACTTTGTTAGTGCAAAAGCAAATTGCTGGCGAATTCTCTCGTGTTGTTAAGAGTTGCAAGCTTAACTAAATGAAGCTAAATTATARAAATTAACAGGTGTTTGTACAGAGGCCATAATTAAGGCGATCCGAGGCGATCTTGGGTGATCTAAGGCGATCTTAGGAATTGATCTAAGGCAATCTTGGGTGAGTCTAACGCGGGGTAAGGAACCAAAGTAGGCTTTACATATGGTACTACCTATACGGCAAATCGTAAAAATTCGCTCACGTTATCAGTTGAAGACGAGCTGTTGACAGCTCTAGCAACATCGATACGAACACAAACATCGTTTATTACTCTCTACTTATGCCAAATTAATGAGTTTTTAAATTAATTTTGGCCTTCAATAACCTCCAAAAATTTAAAAAATAAGAGCCAGTCAAATTCAAATAAAAAAAGTAAAAAAATAAAACGAACTAATTAATAAGAGAAAACCAATTTTCTTATTGATTCCAGAATTTTGGAGAAAAAAGGTTAAACGAAGCTTTTAAAAATGCAAAATGACGAGGGGAAAATCGATGTTATATTTGATGGATAAATCAAAGTTAGTTAAATAAAAGAATTTCATTTTAGTTGTCAGTTTCATTTTTCGGCCAATCAAAATAGTAGTTTTTGTAAATGTAAATATGTATTTCGCGTCTATTCGCCAATTTCACATTCTCCTCAATGTTGTTTTATCTGAAAATATTGAATCGTACGTTGCATAAACACAAATAATAGATAGATAGAAACTTAATTAGAGGGTCAGTATACTATAGCATAATAATACACTAATTGGTGACACAACATAAATGAATAAACGTAAAAGCTAATTAACAAATGTTTTAAAATTAATAAACATATATAATATATACTCTATAACTGTATAAAAAAATCATGGTCATCAGTGTACATAGATAGATAGAAGACAGTTTGTAATAGAGAACGACAGATCATTCTGGAAAATATTCCATGAGAGCAGGCCAAAGCATGACCCTTGTGGCCAACCTCTTTTTATATCCTGCCAATCACTTGTGACGGTTTCCAGTTTTACTCTTCCTTGAAGATGTTCAAATTAAGATCTTATTAGTGTTAATGCTTGTTCAGAGAAATTTTACGCTTTCAGCTTGTTTATCACTAACACAGGGAGGATTAAGTTGAATGTCTTGTGGTGTCGGTTCAAACAATGCCCACTATTTCACCATTATCATCAGCTGATTTCCAATCTTCAACGAGTTTAAGCAATGCCGTTTCACAACTATTTCCTTTTCTGTATGCGGACATACGACTTGAGAGATGAGGATCGATTTTCTGTGTAATCTGGTTACTAAGTTGTTGCTCAAACACTTTTTGTAACTGCGTTGAGAACAGCTACTGGTCTATAGTTCCTCTTGTCTGTCTTATCGTCTTTTTTATGAACAGGAATCCACTTTCCTTTTTCCAACTCATTGGAAATTCCCCCAAGCTTATAGCCAAGTTAAAGAAGTTGCACAATGAAGGCACCAATTCGTTTGCTGATAGTTTTAGCAATCTTGGTGGAATTACGTCCCATCCCATTGCTTTGTTGGCTTTTAGACTTTGTAGCGCTTTCACATGCAGTCTCGGCCCTCAGTGATCTCTAAAAAAGAAAATACCTCAATGTTTTCGTAGTTGTTTTTAATAGTAACAACATTTGTGTGATTACAAAGATCGCTTTCAGATGATAGTAAGGCATTCGTGCCACAGATGGTCTTTGCCAAAGTTGAGAAACACTTCGATAACTCATCATCTACAGCGTTTTGATTTGTAATCATTGAGTTGTCTTCGGTTTTAAAGTTGATTTAGTCACTGTTTGAGAGATATTTTTTAGTTCCCAAGTAAGTTTTGAAAGCTTTGAAGAAGTCTTTTGGTTTTGTTTCCATTTTGTCTGTTTTTTTCAATAGGTTTTTATAGATATTCGTCGTTCCTTTGAGTTGCCTCGTTTCTAGTCCTTTTCTTCATCTCCGAAATTGTCTGGATTTTTTTTCTCTAGTGCATACTGTTTAGCTGCTTTATGTTTGTCTCTAATTGCGTTTTCCAATCATATCAGTCCTTTAATCCTATTAAAAGCTAAATACAAGTCATTCCCTTTGAACGTCTAAACCGGCTTCATTGTTTCGACAGCATATTAGAGTAAGACACCTTTTCCTAAAAGGCTGGTTCATAATGTTGTACAAAATAGGATTTAACGCACTACCCATATATGAGGTATACAGAATTACTATCTCTAGAGAGCGCGGAAGATCAATGTATATAGCAATGTGGAATAGTGTCGAAGGTGGAATCCAGCAGATGATGAACCCACACACCAACGCAAGGACAGATCTTGTAAGTTGAACCTCTTCTTTGGTAAGAGATGTGGTACTTCCTTTAGAATTGACATTAAGAGTAGTAGAGACTCTAGCATTGTGTCCCTTGAATTCGATATATAGCTTCCAGTAACATATGCCAGCAAGTGTTAACGGGAATAATACCAGGATAAAGTGGCTCACTGCCGTAATGACGCGAGGAATAGGTGTTGTGGTTTTATGAGTAAAACTGAGAAAGTACACCATCCTTCCTGGGTAAAAGTCTATCTCTACAGCTCCGCTCAAGTACAAAACCAGCACGAACAAAAATAAAAACAACCAAGATACAAGAATTGTCAGATGTACAGTTTTTCGTTTGAAGTACTTTTTGTAGAGGAGTGGTTTGACAACAMAGAAAAATCTATTTATTGCGATGAGGAATGTCGTGTAAAGAGATACGAAGACCAATTGAGCAAACATCCATCCAACGACTTTGCCAAGCTTGTCTGAGATTACGTTCCGTCCATAAAATGATGTTAATATCGATGTCGGCATCACAACAACAGACAAAAATACATCAGATAGGGCAAGTGATTTAAGGTAAATACTGGTTACGCTGCGAAGTCGAGGTGTTTTATAGAACACGTACAACACACAGGAATTACCGAGCAAAGCTGTTAATGCAATGATGCATAGAAGACTAGTTTCTATGACTCGCCGTTGAGGTGATCTGTTTGCCAGTTCGAAGGCGAGAGTTTCGTAGTGCTGCAAGTCAGACATGAAAGCCAACTTTAACCAATTTGAATACAGTGACAGAGAATTAGTTTTAGAACTCTCGCTTTATCCCACAGAAAAAATTCTTTCCTGAAGTTTTTTCTTATTTTCTGGGCTTTTTTTCCTTTTCTCGAATGAAACGCGTGCTCTTTTCAATGAAGAAAAGCGGAAAGACTAATAGAAAAGTTTAATGAGACTTGTCGTTCTAAAGTCATTTAGACTGACTCATAAACAGCCAATAGGCTCTCTTATCTTGTGCCTTGACGCCGCCGGGCAATAGGCCAACAACAGCCGTTGAAGGCACAGCCGCTTTAATGAAAGAAAACATGCACAAGAATTAAGAGTTTTATTTGGGTAATAATGATTTGTAAGCAATGACGAGACTTTTTTATAAGTACGCATTATTATTCGTAAAATAAAAGAATTAATTTTAGATTTTCAAAATATAAAAATTAGCTAAAAAAATCAAAACTATACAAATTTGAATCAGTTAAATTTTTAATGTTCGACCATATGGTATACTTCAAGGGGTAAATTGGTTGTTGTTGTTTTATATATACAGATATTTATAGGATAAAAGGCACAGCCAATTTGGAACGTCATCTACATTAGGATCCACATGAATATCGCGCGTATTAAATATCGTGAAATTTTGGAAGCCGTATATTTCATATCACTTTTACGAATTTGGGAGACGAAAAAAACAACAACAAACAAACGAACAAACAAAAACAAAACAAACAAACGCTTTACTTGATTTCGCGATTTTGTGATTTCTTTAATATAGTATAGACCAGTTTTAATATATTTAGAAAAACAGGTTTTCACAAAGTTCTTCTAGCTGCTTGGTAAAAAATAAAATAAAAGATAAGATAAGATTTCATACGATTTCTTATTACAACAACCTTATTATTTCGTCTGAGTAATTGTAGTTAATTAATATTGGGGTATAAAATTCGTATAGTGGATTCTATTTGTTTGGTTGAATTTCCAACCTATACTCCAGCTGAGCGGTGAATTTTGTTTTAGCCATTCACAACGTGTTTAGATGTTTTGGCGCCGGCTCTCATTCCCAGGATACTGTTACCCAACTTTTGCATATATATATATATATATATATATTCTGTTTTCTTTTAACTAGAATATAATATACATGACTATTATAAGAAGCGGAAATATGGAAAGGAAAAATAAAAACAGTTTCCCTTTACTGCCACATGCATTTGCTTTGCTCTTTCAAGATCCAAAAATGTTTAGGACTGTCATTTTGCCCACTCATGCTTTGCGTTCGCGTTCACGTTCACCTGCCATGATTAATATTCCAGTTTCTAGTTTTCTGTTACTCAGAATTAGCAAATGTCTATTATGGGTAGAATGCCATAGCTCATCGTAAACAGGGAACACACGTTTAATTTTGCATTAAATCTTAATGATAGTTTATCTTTAAAAAAGAAACCTGCTAGAACAAATGTGCTCAAATATAGTTTTTCAATAGAATAGTTGTGATTCTTGGAATCAGTTGCCTAAGGACATTAGGAGTGAAACTAAAGTTCAGTCTTTTAAGTCAAAAGTGAAGGATTTTTTATTGAAGCAATCAAATAAGGGGTTGGGAAATTAAATTGAATTATTTAATATTTTACTAGGTAAAGACAAATTTCAAGTTTTATATATTTATTATTAATATTTTTTCTTTGCTAGGGGAGGGAGGATTAAATTGAATTATTTTATATTTCACTAGGTTAAGACAAATTTCAAATTTTATTTATTTATTACTAATATTTTTCTTTGCTGGATTTGATAAATCGGTATATCAAGTTGGATTTATATTAATATATTTTTCTAGATTTTAATATATTTTTATAGATTTTATTTTTATTTCTATTTTATATCTTGCCTGGTGATCTGTTTCCATATAGGGTCTAGGACTCCTTTACGGATTATCCATATGGCTCTTTCTTCTCTCTATGTTCTCTTTTATTGCCACTAAATTGATTAAATAAATAAATAAATAAATAAAATGTTTGGGTATTCTTCTCCATCAAAACACCAAATAAACTTGACAACTAATTAAAAAGAAACAAAGGAAGACATATACATACAAAAATATAGGATATGTTTCCGAAAATTAGATGAAAAATGAGGACATTTGAAAAGCTGAATCGCAGGAAAATACAGAAAGCTCGCGCTGGATTTTTTAGTCTTCTAAATCGTATAATTAAGTCTATTTTCAATCAATTTCGCCATGGGATTCAAGTAAAATTCATTGTCTGACTCGGGAATTCCACAGAATATTACTCGAAAACTAATCGCTTCTCGATTCGTGCGATATAGGTTTTCTTGTGAAATTCAACGTGGACTACCTCGTCAGCCATTGAATTTTACAATAGAATATTCTTGTAATTCTGTGAAGGTCTGTGAATATTTAGACACTGATTCGAGGCTCATTCTGAGTGAAGGAGTCTCAAAAAATGGAAATCGAAAAATAGTCTATTCGCATGTAAAGCGGATTTGCATCAGAAATTTAGGAAACATTCATTTTAATGAGGAGTGTATTTGCTAAGTTCTTTTTCTGTCTTCCGTTCGGTTTTTTTTTCTTTTCAAGAAACCGTCTTAAACTTCTGGACGTAAATCACATGAAAAACCGGTTTTCGAGCGGATACAATTACCCGAAACGTAATCTAGTAATTAAGATTTATATATTATAAATTTATACATTATACTTGTGTTAACATTACAAAAACAGGATATTTTCAAGAAAACAAAATGCTTTTATACTTCAAAAACTCCCTTTTGGAAGTGCTGTTTATTTTAACTGAACTGGACTCTTGACCGCGGGCGAAAAATGTGTTTGCAATGACGAAATATGATTCACATCGTTAATAACTCTCCAAGCACAAAAACACCTTAGATCTGATATTGTATCCTTAACTTTCTTTTTGTTGATGTAGGAGAAATGTAGCGCCAGGATAACGTTTTGAATTTTGAATTGTTAGAATAGACATAATAAACGAAATAGAAGAAAAAAAGAGAGGACAAAAAAGAGAGGTTGAGGAAAAGGAGCAAGACGAAGAGGCTTAGGAGGAGGAAGAGGCGGAGGAGGAAGCAGAGGAGGAGGAAGAAGAGGCTTAGGAGGAGGAAGAGGAGGAAGAGGAGAAGAAAGAGGAGAATTAAGGACAAGGAGGAGAAAGAGGATGAAATAGGGGAAGAGGAGGAGGAAGAAAAATAGAATGAGATAGGGGACGAGGTGGAGGGAGAGAAATAGGAGGAGGAAGAGGGGGAGAAAAAGGTAGAGAAGGCCGAAGGAAGAGGAAGAAAGTGACGAAAAATACTAATTATATTTGTTATATACCAAATGACAAAGTGGGTATCACGTGAACGTGAASAAGTTTCGATGTTTTCCTGGCAACGGCCAACAATATGTTGCCGACCGAKAATAACAATACCGGAAGTAAAATTCCCAGAAATGTACGTTTTTCTAAGTTTTTCAAAATCAAACAATCAAAAAATCAAATAACTGCTTTCGAAATCAAATAATCAAAAAATCAAATATATGTTTTTTTCTTTGACACTTGGTATATAGCAAAACACTTATTGATTTGAACCTCGTGAAAGGAGTGCGTTTCGCGATCCCTTGACGGCAATGTTTCCCTCGGCTTCGCCTTGCGAAACATCACCGTCTCGGGACCACGAAACACACTGTTTCTCTCGGTCCCATTCAATAAGTATTAAATATGTCACTTATTATTGCATTACTTTTTATCTCTCATGCGGTAGGTGCAGTAAACTTTATTTCATCTTTGATACTGCCTAATTTTAAATTATAAAACCCAACTACAAAAGTTTAACATTTGTATAAGCGACAGTTTGTGTCATCCGTTTGTCATTCCTTGCTGAACTCCGATTTCATTTCTCGCCTTTAATGTAAAGAAAATATTCTCAAACTGCATTCTAAAAGGTCGATTGAACATATTCAACAATATTGGATTTACAGCAAAGCTAGATAACGCAGTATACATAGAGTATACTTCAACTTCTCTAGGAATGTTCATGTACACAGCGATATGAAAAATGGTTGTACAAGGCATCCAGCAAAAGATGAACCCGCTTACTAATGCTACTAATGATTTGGTGATGCGAATCTCTTTTCTTGATATCTGAATAGTGTTTCTTGTAGCTTCATTATTTGAACTAAACGCTACCCTTACATTATGGTTTTTGACAATCCTGTATACTTTGCTGCTGCAAAATATTGAAGCACACATTGGGAAAATTATGAAAACTACTTGGAAAACTGCACGAAAGATCTTTTCCGTTGTGAGGTCCTCAAACGAAAGGAGGTATAAAAATCGACCTGGATAAAATCTAAAGGTTCCTTTCCCGCTGACATAAACTCCCGTTATAAACAGGAGACAAAATATCCAAATGCCACATATCGTTAAAATAGTGAACTTGTACTTGAAATATTTTCTGTAGGCCAACGGTTTTGTGACGCAGAAAAATCGATTGATTGAGATTAAAGAAATAGTATAAAGAGATCCTAGTATTAGAGCTGTGAAAATAAATCCAATCACTTGTCCAGCTTGGTTACCAATGTAGTCACCTCCTATTGCTGCTGTTCCAATTGCTGTTGGTAGCACCAGAATAGTTAACGCTGCACTGGAGATAGCAAGTGCAATATGATAATAACTTGTTGTTTGACGCAGGTTTGGTGACTTGAGGAACACATACAGAACGCAAAAATTCCCAACAAGAGCTGTGACTGCTATAAAGATGAGAATAGTAGTCTCGATGAAGACTTGTACAGAAGATCTGTTAGCCAGCCCAAGAGCCATTTGCCTAGAATGTTCGTCTTGAAACATTGTATGTAATTTGCATGTATCTTCTTGGCCGAGAAATCTAAAGCCTTCAAAAGTTGAAGAATCTTTAACACAAAGTAATGATAGTTTGAATATTTCAGGACAGATGTTCCCACGAGGAAAAATAGCAACGCAACAGTAATAATATTCAAGATTGTGTTGCTTGGAGTTTGGCAAAGAAAATAAATTTTGTGTTGAATGTGCTGGAGGCGATAGTACAATAGCAAAAAAAAAACAACAAAAAACAAACAAACAAAAAACAAAAAACAATTGTAATATAGTGTGCTTGTCGCGTTCAATATAACAGGCTTGACAAGATTGCCGAGAAACTGCGATGTCTCTCAACGACCAGTTGTAGATTTTTAATCAAATTTTGAAACCTATGATTGATTCAGCGTCAATCATCAACGTTCTCTCTTTGAACTATTTATTTGATTACTTGTGATTCAATTGTTGCCATATGTTAACCGACAAAATAGATATAGCACTCTTATACAGGTTTATGCATAGTTCACAAGAAAGACTCGGAGCGATAGTTTGCATCCAGTTTTCTTTGTATTCAAGTTGGTAAAAATGTTCAAAAAATTGATTATTTTGTCATCCTCTTTGTCAAATAACACATCGTAGCGCAAAAACTACCATATTTTTTCTCTACTTGGCGAGTTAATAGCAAAAATCGACTTTAGATATCTACTAAGAATATATTTCTTAGAAGAAAAGGGGATTGTTATCGTTACTTAGTGTGCTAACTTACCTTTTATCACCAAAAAAACTATCCGAATCCGCCATCTTCTTTACATTCTCGCATAGCTAAAATCCTGTAGAATGCCAGCCACAATGGCCGATTTGATCACGTGACCTCATAAAAAAGCTCTAATTTCGTTGTGACAATCTTTTGTTTTCTTAGTTGAAATTATAAAATATATATGGCTGACTTCCGTGTTTATATGGCTTACTAAGAGCTGTACTAAGAGCTGTACTAGGAGTACTCGAAAAGCCAGAGCCACAATCGGCTACGCCTCGTGTTCCTAACCTTGCTTCTCTCGTGCTCTACAGCTCCCAGCGTGTTTACATCACAGTATAGAAACATGGGCGCGCGTTTTATATTTCTTAAGTAAAGTCATATTTGAAATGATATAAGCTGGTTTTATTTACAAATTAACAACTAACAACGACTAATTTAAAAACACTGAATTTAAAGACATTGATATTTTTTCGACATCAAAGACGTAATGCTGATTATCTTTACCTTTAAGATATTCGTTTTTCGAAGCTCAGGAAATCAATAACTTGAAATAAGAATCAAATATATATTCAAATACAAACAAAAAATAAAGTGCATAGAGCATGTAAATATTCTCCAGTCATCATAGAATTAATTTTAAATTTTTATATCATTGCAGCAATAATTCAATAATTTGAATTCAAAAATAGCAAAATATATATTTCTTTATTTTAGATAACTTGTCCTTCCTTAGAGTAGCATTTTCTTGTTTTACGGTTTACCGGTTTAGCATGCATGGTATTCTCAGAGGAGACAAAATCTTATTCTCAAGTTACATTGTCAACTGAGAGATTGAAAAAACACAAGTAAAAAAAGTCATTGATTTTCATAACATCTGCCTCGAAACTCGTAATAAATTTTTTTATTTATGTCTCAGTCTCGCACAAGTCACGAGGCGGGAGAACTAAGACTATACTGAATACAAGTGAAATTCTACATTCGAACCATAAAAAGGAGCTATTTCAAATTTCAACTACCATAACATAAATATGAATAAATTATTAGAATCCTAATATATATTTTAAGGAAAGTAAAACGCGCGCACAAGTCTCGGTACAGTGATATGAACACGGTAGCCAGCCAATGAAATATTTTATAAACAATAATAATGTTTTGAAGTACTAAGTTAGTTAAGACTTCCACCTTGTAACAAAGCCTTCCATAATAATGTTGTTGCTATGTTGTTTGATGGCTTTTTAAATATTTTTTAACAGGCTCGCCCTGTGGCTGTATATCTATAAAGATCATATCAATACCCAACCAAAAGCCGACACGTATAAACAGACACGTAGAAAGAAAGTACGAATTTGGCAAAATACTCTTTATTACACAACATTAGGGGCAGGTGCTCCGCATTCAAGTGGGTTTTTAAGTCAATATATCTACCACTATTCAAAACAACTTTGACAATATGCTTTTATTTTGAATTCTACATTTGAGTAAACATTTTGGATTAATTTGGAAAGACTTCAAATTGCATTTCATAAAGACTAGAAAAAAATTATTCTTATTCTTATTCTTATTCTTATTCTTATTCTTAT